CAAACTACCCAAATCTCCGAGTGGGTACGACACCATTTGGGTAATAGTTGATCGACTAACTAAATCCGCTCACTTCCTGCCGATCAGGGAAAACTTCAAAATGGAGAAACTCACGCGAATCTACATCCAAGAGATAGTCCGACTGCACGCTGTGCCTGTGTCCATTATCTCCGATCGAGATAGCAGGTTCACTTCGAGGTTCTGGCAGTCACTTCAGAAAGCTCTTGGAACTAAGCTGGATATGAGCACAGCTTACCATCCTCAAACAGATGGACAGAGTGAGAGAACCATCCAAACCTTGGAAGACATGTTAAGAGCCTGCGTCATCGATTTCGGCGCATCGTGGGACACTCATCTTCCTTTGGTTGAATTTTCCTACAACAACAGTTACCATACCAGCATCAAGGATGCGCCTTTCGAAGCCCTCTATGGCCGCAAGTGCAGATCCCCTCTGTGCTGGGCTGAGGTGGGCGACACATAGTTAGCCAAGGGGCAAGTCCCCGATAGCAGTCTCACTGGTCCAGAAATCATCCGCGAAACCACAGAAAAGATTGTACAAATCCGAGAACGACTTAAGGCCTCTCGCGATAGACAAAAGAGCTACGCCGATAAATGACGAAAACCCTTGGAATTCCAGGTTGGAGACCGTGTCCTGCTAAAAGTCTCACCTTGGAAAGGCATGATACGCTTCGGAAAGCGTGGAAAGCTGAATCCAAGATACATAGGACCGTTCGAGATCCTCGCCAGGATCGGTCCTGTAGCCTACAAACTCCGATTACCTCAAGAGCTTAGTGACATTCATCCCGTCTTCCACGTCTCAAATCTTAAGAAGTGCTTATCCGATGAGACTCTTACTATCCCTCTCGATGAGATTAAAATCAACGAGAATCTAAACTTTGTGGAAGAACCAATCGAAATCATGGATCGAGAGATCAAACGAACGAAACAAAGTCGCATCCCGATAGTGAAGGTTCGCTGGAATGCCAAGCGAGGACCGGAATTCACTTGGGAGCACGAAGATCAGATGAACCAGAAATATCCCCATCTCTTTCCAAATTCATGATTTGTATTCTATGTTCAAATTTCGGGACGAAATTCCCTCTAACGGGGGGATGATGTGACAACCTGAAATTTCTAACTTGTACATTTTTCATTTATATCAAAGTTAGCCTTCATTTTACTATCTTATAACGAAATTATGGGTCTATACGAGTGTTTTAGGCTTAGTATGACATGGATATGAGTCTTAGGAAGGGTTAGAAAGTGTGTAGCATCACAAAATCGGGCCAAACACACCAAAGAAGGTGTGTGCGGCCGCACACCCGCGTGTGCGGCCAGCCAGCCGCACACCCAACCGCACACACCCAACCGCACACACCCTCCAGCCTCACACCCGACCCTATATATTGGAGGAGACCCCCTTCATTCACTATTTTCCTCTTTTGGCTGCACCCTACTCTCTCTCTCTACTTTCTCTCTCTAGAAACATCATCCAAGAACACTCTAAGGGCCTCAAAAACGTGATCCACTTCACCATTCAGCTTGTTATCTTGGTAAGACACCTGAATCTAAGCCTAAAACTCATAGTGATCTTCGTGTTCTTCATCCTTTGAAGGTGTACGGCCGCACACCTTCATAATGTGGCCGCACACACACTAAACTCTCCAAAGTGAAGAGTTTTGGCCTTCATTTACTAATAGGACTTGGTATTAGCACAAGAACACCTCGAAAACACCTCAAGATCGACATTTCGGACACAAATGAGGAGTGTACGGCCGCACACATCCGCTGTATGGCCGCACACACGGTCTGGCCGCACACCCTAGCCGCACACTCTTGTGTGCAACCGCACACACACCCTGGGCGTACACCCTGGCCGCACACTCACTCAAATGGCCGTACACATCCCTTAATTGATCATATAGGGTCCCGACAAGCATTTCCAAGTCTTTAGGGTGGTTTCCCGTCATGTTTAGTCATCAAACACTCTAATTCTAATGCGTATATGTGTTATCACATGATAATAGGATCCACTCGCGTACGAAACATCGGTTGACACTCAACACTCGTAACAAACTGTGCTTTCGGATCCTACGATAAACAGTGAGTTCATACCCTTATACTTTTCCAAGTTTTTCATGTTTTCAGGGGGGAATACAAGCAAAAGTACAAGGAAACTTGTGCTCAAATATATTATTTTGTTTAAAATAATTACATGTTCAATATGCTTTCAAACACAGAAAACCGTTTTACCATTCAATTTAGAAATCAACTCGTAGAAACAGTTTTCAAAACTAAAGCACGAAACTTATGAATCTTGTCATAAATTGTGATGTTTTACAAAGGACTCATACCAACCATAAACAGGGTTTTCGGTATTATTACTTGTAAATTTGTTAGTCTAAGGATTGTAGACACATCCTTGGTAACACTCCACCGGATTCGTGAGTGTAGGACTACCCTTTTAACCAGAATCTCTTGGAGGGAGAGTGTGACTATTGTGTATAGATCTATACGGGACTTACTATCCCGCACCTCGCTGCTAGCTACAGTGGGACCGTCAGGTCTATGGGTGACAAAGTCATAAAATGATACTGGCCACCGTACGTGCCATATCTAGTTTAATGTATGGTTATGAAACTCGCAACCTAGATAACAGAGATTTACTTTAGTAATAATGAATCAAGTGAACTAACCTCAAAGTAATAACCGATTTGATTACTAGAGGGTATTGATAATACCCTTAGGATCTAGTTCACTACCTACTTTATTAGTTTTATTTATGTAATAAGGCTAATACGTCTCTCAACGATCATCCAAGGTTTTCAAGGAAACTACATCTATCGATACAAGTATGGTAGATACTTGTACATCTCATTCAGAATCGACAATCGAACAACTTTCATAAGAAAATATGGGATTTTCTTGGGATAACTCAATCTTTCATAAACAGGTGGTTTATCATCAAACTAATGGGAAATCAAACCTCTTTCATAAGAAAATATGGGATTTTCTTGGGAAACAACTTTTCAAAGAATCAAGGAAACATTTCTTTCACCAGAATTAACTGCTTATGAACTCACCAGCTTTATGCTGATATATTTTCAAAACTGCTTGTATTCTCAGGACATCAATAGGCAGATACTTTTGCCAACTTTTGGAGAAGATGGAACATCTTGAAGTCACATCTTTTGCTTTTGCTATATATACTGATATGTATAAACCATGTTTTTGATCAATGTAAATATCCTTATTATAATGTAATGGTTGTGTTTACTATGCTTACTATGATACAACTGTTGTGATACTACGCATGACGTCACTCCGCCCCGGAACGTTTCCGCTTTCGGTTTCGGGGTGTGACACCTTCCAACTCGTCAAGTAGGTTCCTTAACCCGTGTCCCAAATCAGCTCTACTCGACGAGTCTGGGCTCCCAACTCGTCGAGTTCCTCTACAAAAGTGAATAAATTACGATTTTAAATACATTCTAGGAACTAGGCGTTACAGAGAAGAAGCCTGCAATTGTCTCTAATATTATGCAAGAGCGGGTGCAACACAAGGGTAAAGAGAAGTGGTCCCAAGGGGTCTCTTTGTTGAACCCTTGTAGTGGACCAAATATGAGTGTCGCCTATATACAACCTTGCTGCTTGCCCATATAGGAATTCTACCCACAAGGATATAGAAGGACACCTCAATCTGACATCCTGAAGCAATGTGGATCTGTCGACAAGGTTAAAGGCATTGGAGAAGTCCACGGTAAGCATGGAAAGAGAGCCATCATTATGATGTTCACTCAACACCCTATTGGTGTTATGTAGTACACCCTCGACGGTACCCGACACTCCGACCCCGAACTGAAAATCATTGAGATACTTCTCCGTTTCTTTACCAATACCATTCATAGCCAACTTAGAAACCAAACGTCTCCACATAGTGCCTACTGCAATAGGTTGTATTCCCTTGTCAGGTTTTAAGAGTGGCATCAGAGGAGCAGAGGCAACAAATTCTGCCAAACTCGAAGGGCATCTTCCCCCTAGCCATAAATTAACCACAGATGTAATAGCACGTAGGAGGTCTTTGGCTATAACTGAACCTTCTCCATAAAGAGCATCCAAAATGTGTTGAGCTCTCAACCCGTCTCTCCACACGAGGTACATTTAGGGAAGGATTTAATGCTCCCAAGGACATTGTCAACATTCACTACAAGGGGAGGTTCTGAAAATATGGTGCTCGACATGGAAGCTGGTGGCTTGTATGGATGTTTATCCTCTAATGCCTTCGTGGTATCACCCCCAAATGGAGCAACCCTCGAAGAACATAAAACTTTCACTGTTGCTGTAAAATGTCCATCGGCAACCTTACGAAGACATTGTCTGAAATTGGTGTTGCCCAGTGTTCTTTCCTCCTGAATGTACTCTTCTTTTTTGTCTTGTTGCTCCAGTCTTGCGTTGTCAACTAAGTTTTTAACTAGCTTGGCAATGTCATCTTCAGTCCCCCATGTAGCTAATGCACTCAGGATATTACGATGTTGCAAAGACTTCCTGTTGCCAGACATACTTTCTTGCCTATTCTTGGGCCTGAACACACTCATGATATTACGATGTTGAAGAGTACACTTAGGAAGAATTAACAAAGCAACACGCGCTTCAACGGACGCGAGATGAGCAACCACCTTGGAAAGGGCTGCTTTCAAAGTCCGAGAGAAAACCATACGACAGTTACGAGGGATGCTTTTGACAATGGTGATAGGTAGTTTAAAAACATGATCAAGTAGCTGAGCATCCATCACCAACCCATCATTGTGGTCGGCTTCCGGTCCATTAGGTGGCGGTTTTGGAATGACAACAATATGCCCACTAATGTCATCAGCACCGTCAATAAACTTAATCAAGCCACCCGGGTGGTGATACGAACGACTCAAGGCATGAAAACTCATGCAATTCCCACATATCCATTGACCAAAATCCTTCGAAGTTGCTGCCACATACATAAACAACCCATGGTCAGAAGTAATAGCCTCCCGTAACATAACTTTGCGTTCATCTGTAGGGAGGTGTAAACTCTTGAGATACGATATCATACGAGAAATCCCTTTACTTCCAACAACACCATTTGGGCAACAATGAATCCTCCGAAAAGGACACGACCAAGTTCCGCCAAATAAATTTTATTGAGGCCTCAAGGTGAGACCCGAATGTGACACAGCTACAAAAGGTGTGTAGTAACCGAATTTGGAGTATACCAATGAAACCAAGACCATGCAGAAACCCTACTTCTTCCTGGGTCTAAAATTGGCTGCTAACACTTGAACACTTGCGAGTCGTCCAACATAAAATACTCGACGACAAGTTTGACAAGTTACAACGACTGTCGTAGTCGGGGGACTGGACTTTGATTTACTGTTTGAAGGGAATTGTTACGCGGGACGCCCTGCAATACGGTGTGAGAATTGAGATGCCTCCTCCTCATAAACCACTGTGCCGGAACTTCCAGCGTGGATTGTACGCATCTTCTTCATCTCTTCTTCAATTTATTTTTTTAGGGTTTAACAATTTTGCACTCTCTAACATTTCATGCTTCTCAAACCTGCCGAAAAATCGAAACTCTAAGCAAGATTTGCTGTTGATGAAATTCGACCAGATTTTTTTTATCGCTTTTACTGATTCGCGACTTTAAATTGTCCGTTGTCGAATTACGGTTTCTGCTAACTGTTCTTAAAACAATTCCTCAATCTCTTGCAGCTGTAAATATGGTGCAGAATGCAGGTTTCTCCATGAAAATCAACAGCAGCAAGCAAAACCAAATCCTTTTTGGATTCGGTACTGGCACTCAAAACACTACACAATCTCCGCGTACTGATCCCCAACCTCAAAAAGCCCAATCCTTTTGGATTTGGTGTTCAGAACAACTCCCAAACTGGATCTAAACCTAATCAATTCAAGGTTCATTATACATTTAACTTTACATTACATTTTATCTTCTTGTTTGTGACTTTTTTTAATCTGTTATATGGATTAGCCTGGTGAAAATAAATGGAGCCGATTTTCCCCAATAAACGCCCCTAATTCTTCAGCCCCACAAAAACAAAATAATCAGGCTTCTGCACCTAATCATGTGTAAGATTCTAAGCTTTGAACTCTTTCCCTCACATATATTTGTCCTTGAAATTGACTGAATTTTGATTTTTTATGGTATGAAGGTGCACAGATTCTGAGTCTTGCAAGCGTCAAATTAGTGAAGATTATGAGCATGAGACACCACTTTGGAAGCTTACATGTTATGGTCATTGCAAATAGTATGTTCTTGTTCCTCAACTTCACTTAGTAGGGGCAGTTTTGGTATATGTTTAAGTTAGGTGCAGAAAGAACAGATTAATAGAAAAAGTTAGGGAAAAGAGGTCTTTCCCATGTTGTTCATTTGTTTGTTAAATCATTTTATTATTACTTTCTACAATTTACTTTTCAATATCAAGTTCTTTTATTCTTTTTTAGTGGGCCTTGTGATATTATTGGTGATATTAGCTGTGAAGAATTACGAGCTGCTGCATATGATGATGCTAAACGTGGAATGAACATTCAATCAGTTGTAAGTTATTATCACATTCTACTTTCATTTCTTCCTATTACAACATTCTACATTAAATTAGAAAGATTCTTGACTTGTTATAAATTTTGGCACTTAAAAAATCTCACAGGTTGAGAAAGAGAGGAGTTTAGTTAATTCCAAGTCGACTGAATTCCAAAACCTACTTCGTAATCCTTATACCCCTCCACAAAATTCAACTCTTTCTACCCAAAACATCTTTTCCGGAAATACCCCTCAAACAATTCAAAATAATACCCCTCCTTTGGTTTCAAGTTTCAGCCAATTGGGTACAACTATCAATTCAGGTTTCCAAATGAGGCAAGATTTCCTTTCTATAAAATTTGAGTTCATGTTTTTCACTTTTTTGTTTTCTATTATAATTCATAACTAATCCCTGACCCTTTAATTTTTATATTTCATTTCTATTTTTTATTTTCTAGACCAGCTGCTCCAAATAATATTTTTGGGCAAGTTAGTCATTTCCAACCTCCTACTCAGATATCAAACACACCCCAGAAGAACCCCTTTGCATTTGGAAATCCAGGTCTGATTTTGATTTTTCTCATTTATTATTATTACTATTATTATTGTTATTGTTATTATTAAACCATGTTATTATTAATTTATTATTGTTGTTATTATTTATTACTTATTGCCATGTCATTTTTAGGTGCAGTGGTGAGTCCACCTTCTACACATACATTTGGCAATGCATTATCCTCTACTGCTACTACTACATCTTCACCAAATCTTAATGTGCCACGTCAGCAATCATCTACTATGCCATTTGGTTTTGACCAAAACCCTTCTCCTAATTTACTTCCTGAATCACTTCCCACTCTTCAAATTACGTAAGTGCCCTTCACAATTCACACACTTAACATCTTGTGCTGTTTCTTTTTGACTCGATAGAGTAAGTCATCCTAACTATTTACAAATTTGCCACCATTTATTTTCCTCCAAATTCCCTAAGTATGCTGCCATTTCCATAAATACTTTAATCATAAACTTTGTGTTGTATTATATTTTTGGTTTAGGGAAATTGTCAGAAAAGTCCCAATATTTTGGGAAAAATTACGATTAAGTCCCAAAAAAAATTTTTGAACAGAAAAGTCTCGATTATTTGATTTTACACGATAATATGTCACTTCCTGTTAAAAGAATAAAATGACTTTTTTGTTAATTTGAGCAAAAATGAAAAAAACGGGACTTTCATGTTAAAAAAAAATTGGGACTTTATCATAACTTTTTCCTAAATATTGGGACTTTTCTGACAATTTCCTTTGGGTTTATGCAGGCAAAATATTCAAATTTCAAATAATAATGGAGATAACAGTATATGGTTCAAAGAAGAATGGAGGCCAGGAGAGGTAATCGATAATAAGGATGACAAGGGCATTTACGTCTTTTATACATACAAAAAAAATCAAGAGCGAGTCTTGTTCCTTATTTTTGGATGAAACAAAAAAACTGTGACTTTTTTTTTGTCCCATTCACATTAGTGTCTGTCTTAGTCCAATGCATGCGAAACACAGTACAGTATAGCCAAAGCCACAGCCGGGACAATCCTCTCTGTCTTGGCTGGCTCTGGCTGCACCGTACTGTCTAGGTATTAAGCTAATTTCGTTGTGTTCTTTGTTTTGCAGATTCCTGAGGAAGCACCTTCGGAAAGAGTCATTTGTTAGGGTAATCTATCAGGTCATCATTTTTTTTTTGCCCGAGGACATTTTTGGAAACCCAATTTTTATGAGATTTTGGGGTTTTGTTATTGTATACAAAAAGAAAAGATGCTACACCATTGAAAGTACAAAAATAGAGAACATACTCTAGTTGGTGTCATGAGAATATTAAGGCCATATTTGTTAAGGGGAGACACGATTGGAGAGCTTAGACAAGCTATTTTTGAAAATTATTGGAGATTAGGAGGACATTTATGCCTTTTGTACAAAGAAGAGATATGAATGATTAAGTTATGCATTACAAAGAAGAGATATGAATGATATGAATGATTAATTTATGCATTACAAAGAAAAGATATGAATGATTAAGTTATGTGTAACAAAGTAAATAGTTACTTGTGTTTGACTTCTATATGTTGTCATTACCTTTAAGGCTTTAAAAGATTGGTTAAACCGAACTATTTCAAGTTAGTATCTATTTTGTTTATTAGTTAATTAATAAGTTATTGACAAGAAAAGATATGAATGATTAAGTTATGCATTACAAAGTAGAGATTCGAATGATTAAGTTATGCACTGCAAAGTAAATAGTTACTTGTGTTGGGCTTCTATATGGGGTCATTACCTTTAAGGCATTAAAAGATCAGTCAAAATGAACTATTTCAATTTACTATCTATTTTGTTTATTAGTTAATTAATAAGCTATTGACAAAGAAGAGATATGAATGATATGAATGATTAAGTTATGGATTACAAAGAAGAGATATGAATAATTAAGTTATGTGTTACAAAGTAAATAGTTACTTGTGTTCGGCTTCTATATGTTGTCATTACCTTTAAGGCTTTAAAAGATCGGTCAAACTAAACTATTTCAAGTTAGTAGCTATTTTGTTTATTACTTAATTAATAAGTTATTAAAAAAAGAAGACATATGAATGATATGAATGATTAAGTTATGCATTATAAAGAAGAGATATGAATGATTAAGTTATGCATTACAAAGTAAATAGTTACTTGTGTTGGGAGTTTATATGTTGTGATTACCTATAAGGCTTTAAAAGATCAGTCAAACTGAACTATTTCAAGTTAGTATCTATTTTGTCTATTACTTAAATAATAAGTTATTGAAAAATAGAGATATGAATGATATAAGTGATTATGTTATGCATTACAAAAAAGAGAGATATGAATGATTAAGTTATGCCTTACAAAGTAAATAGTTACTTGTGTTGGGCTTCTATATGTTGTCATTACCTTTAATGCTTTAAAAGATTGGTCAAACTGAACTATTCCAAGTTAGTATCCATTTTGTTTATTACTTAATTAATAAGTTATTGACAAAAAAGAGATATGAATGACATGAATGATTAAGTTATGCATTACAAAGAAGAGATACAAATGATTAATTTATGCATTACAAAGTAAATAGTTACTCTTGTTGGGCTTTTATACGTTGTCAATACCTTTAAGGCTTCAAAAAGATCGGTCAAACTGAACTATTTGAAGTTAGTATCTACTTTGTTTATTTGTTAATTAATAAGTTACTGAAAAGTAGATATATTAATGATATGAATGATTAAGTTATGCATTACAAAGAAGATATATGAATGATTAAGTTATGCATTACAAAGTAAATAGTTACTTGTGTTGGACTTCCATATGTTGTCATTACCTTTAAGGCTTTAAAATACCGGTCACACTGAACTATTTCAAGTCAGTATCTATTTTGTTTATTCATTACAAAATAGATATGAATGATATGAATGGCTAAGTAGAGATATGAATGATTAAACTATGTGTTAAAATTAAATAGTTACTTGTGTTGGGCTTCTATATGTAGTCATTACTTTTAAGGCTTTAAAAGATGGGTTAAACTGAACAATTTCAAGTTAGTATGTATTTTGTTTATTACTTAATTAATAAGTTATTGACAAATAAGAGATATAAATGATTAAATTACGCATTACAAAGTAGAGATACGAATGATTAAGTTATGCGTTACAAAGTAAATAGTTACTTGTGTTGGGCTTCTATAAACTGTCATTACCTTTAAGGTTTTAAAAGATCAGTCAAACAGAACTATTTCAAGTTAGTATCTATTTTTTTATTACTTAATTAATAAGTTTTTGACAAAGAAGAAATATAAATGATATGAATGATTAAGCTATGCAATACAAAGAAAAGATATGAATGATTAGGTTATGTGTTGCAAAGTACATAGTTACGTATGTTGGGCTTCTATCTGTTGTCATTACCTTTAAGGCTTTCAAAGATAGGTCAAGCTGAACTATTTCAAGTTAGTATCTATTTTCTTATTACTTAATTAATAAGTTATTGAGAAAAAAGAGATATGAATGATATGAATGATTAAGTTATGCATTACGAAGAAGAGATATGAATGATTAAGTTTTGCGTTACAAAGTAAATAGTTACTTGTGTTGGGATTTAATATGCTGTCATTACCTTTAAGACTTTAAAAGATCAGTCAAACTGACCTATTTCAAGTTAGTATCTATTTTGTTTATTATTCAATTAGTTAGTTATTGACAAAGGAGAAACATGAATGATATGAATGATTAAGTTATGCAATACAAATGAGATATGAATGTTTAAGTTATGTGTTACAGACTAAATAGTTACTTGCGTTGTGCTTCTATATGTCGTCGTTACCTTTAAAGCTTTAAATGATAGGTGAAATTGAACTATTTCAAGTTAGTATCTATTTTATTTATTAGTTAATTAATAAGTTATTGAGAAATAAGAGATAAGAATGATATGAATGATTTAGTTACGCATTACAAAGAAGAGACATGAATGATTAATTTATGCATTACAAAGTAAAATGTTACTTGTGTTGGGCTTCTATACGTTGTCAATACGTTTAAGGCTTCAAAAAGATCGGGCAAACTGAACTATTTTAGGTTAGTATCTATTTTGTTTATTACATAATTAATAAATTATTGGAAAAGAAGAGATATGAATGATATGAATGATTAAGTTATGCATTACAAGGAAGAGATAATGATTAAGCTATGCACTATACAGTAAATAGTTACTTGTGTTGGGCTTCTATATGTTGTCATTACCTTTAAGGCTTTAAAAGATCGGTCAAACTGAACTAATTCAAGTTAGTATCTGTTTTGGTTATTACGTAATTAATAAGTTATTGACAATGAAGATATTTGAATGAGAATAATGATTAAATTATGCATTACAAAGAAGAGATACAAATGATGAAGTTATGCGTTACAAAGTAAATAGTTACTTGTGTTGGGCTTCTATAAGGGGTCAATACCTTTAAGGCATTAAAAACTCGGTCCATCTGAACGATTCCAAGTTAGAATCTATTTTGTTTGTTAGTTAATTAATAAGTTATTGACAAAGAAAAGATATGAATGATTAAGTTATGGATTACAAAGTAGAGATACGAATGATTAAGTTATGCGTTACAAAGTAAATTGTTACTTGTGTGCGGCTTCTATATGTTGTCATTACCTTTAAGGCTTTAAAAGATATATCAAACTAAACTATTTCAAGTTAGTATCTATTTTGTTTATTACTTAATTAATAAGTTATTGATAAAGAAGAGATATGAAAGATATGAATGATTAAGTTATGTATTACAAAGAAGAGATGAATAATTAAGTTATGCCTTACAAAGTAAATAGTTACTTGTGTTGGGCTTCTATACGTTGTCAATACGTTTAAGGCTTCAAAAAGATCGGTCAAACTGAAATATTTGAAGTTAGTATCTATTTTGTTTATTACATAATTAATAAGTTATTAGCAAAGAAATGATATGAATGATATGAATGATTAAGTTAAGCATTACAAGGAAGAGATATTAATGATTAAGTTATGTGTTACACAGTAAATAGTTACTTGTGTTGGGTTTCTATGTGTTGTCATTACATTTAGGGCTTTAAAAGATCGGTCAAACTGAACTAATTCAAGTTAGTATATGTTTTGTTTATTAGTTAATTACTAAGTTATTGACAAAGAAGAGATATGAATGATATGCATAATTAATTTATGCATTACAAAGAAAATAGATGAATGATTAAGTTATGCATTACAAAGTAAATAGTTACTTGTGTTGGGCTTCTATATGTTGTCATTACCTTTAAGGCTTTAGAAGATCATTCAAAGTGAACTATTTCAAGTTCGTATATATTTTTTTTATTAGCTAATTAATAAGTTATTGACAAACAAGAGATATGAATGATTAAGTTATTCATTACAAAGAAGATATATCAATGATTAAGTTATGTGTTACAAAGTAAATAAGTAAATAGTTACTTGTGTTGGGCTTCTATAAGTTGTCGTTGCCTTTAAGGCTTTGAATGATCGGTCAAACTGAACCATTTCTAGTTAGTATCTATTTTGTTTATTACTTAATTAATAAGTTATTAACAAAAAAGATCGGTCTAACTGAATTATTTCAAGTTAGTATCTATTTTGTTTATTATTTTTTTTAATATGTTATTGACAAAGAAAAGATATAAATGATTAAGTTATGCATTACAAAGAAGAGATATGAATGATTAAGTTATGCCTTACAAAGTAAATAGTTACTTGAGTTGGGCTTCAATATTTTGTCATTGACATTCATGCTTTAAAAGATCGGACAAACTCAACTATTTGAAGTTTGTATCTACTTTGTTTATTACGTAATTAATAAGTTATCGACAAAGAAGAGATATGAATGATATCAATGATTAAATTATTCGTTACAAAGAAGGTATATGGATGATGAATTTATGCATTACAATGTAAATAGTTACTTGTGTCGGTCTTCTATACGTTTTCAATACCTTTAAGGCTCCAAAAAGATTGCCTAAACTGAACTATTAAAATTTAGTATCTATTTTGTTGATTACTTAATTAATAAGTTATTGAGAAAGAAGAGATATGAATGATATGAAGGATTAAGTTATGCATTACAAGGAAGAGATATTAATGGTTAAGTTATGCGTTACATAGTAAATAGTTACTTGTGTTGGGCTTCTATATGTTGTCATTACCTTTAAGGCTATAAAAGATCGGTCAAACAATACTATTTCAAGTTAGTATCTATTTTCTTTATTACTTAATTAATAAGTTATTAGCAAAGAACAGATATGAATGATATGAATGATTAAGTTATTCAGTACAAAGTAGAGATATGAACGATGAAATTATGTGTTACAAAGTAAATAGTTACTTGTGTTTGGCTTCTATACTTGGTCATTACCTTTAAGGATTTAACAGATCGGTAAATTAGTAGTATTTCAAGTTAGTACCTATTTTCTTTATTAGTTAATTAATAAGTTA